ACCATCTAATACTATTAAATGGGCATTTGAACAGATGGGAAAACACACAAAAAAAGGCAGTGATCTTCCTCCTCTATCCCTGTCAAAAATCGACAAGAAGATCTAACGATTCCCTGGAAAAAATGTAAACACAAAAAAAGAAAATGTGAGTTTCTGTGAATCCCAGATTAAAAGGTCCTCTAAAAGATTCCCTGAAATGAAAGGAAAAAACTGCTTAAGTGTGGTCGAGTCCCTTTAATCAAGCAAAAAAACACAGCACTGGCCTTAAAAAAAAAAAAAAAAAAAAAAAAAAAAACAACCCGGCTAGTCAATAACCTAAGGAAACATAAACCTGTTAACAGTTGTCAGTACAGGGATCCCTGGGTGGCGCAGCGGTTTGGCGCCTGCCTTTGGCTCAGGGCGCGATCCTGGAGACCCGGGATCGAATCCCACATCGGGCTCCCGGTGCATGGAGCCTGCTTCTCCCTCTGCCTATGTCTCTGCCTCTCTCTCTCTCTCTCTGTGACTATCGTAAATAAATAAAAAATTAAAAAAAAAAAAAACAAACAGTTGTCAGCACATAAAGAATCCCCCATAGAGAGGGAACTTGCATAATGATCCATATGCAGGGGCGCCTAACCATAAAACGGTTAAGTACCCACATGTGTGCAAACAACTGGTGAGTGACAACCGGTGCAAAAAGGTGACCGGTCCCTGGTCCCCCGGTGAGAGGCCGCGCACCAATAGGTGAGGTGCTGGCGGGGCACAGAGGTGCAGGCTCAGACCTCTGTTACAATGCGATAAACCCTTCACCTATCCTGTTCCCGGGCAAGGGGAGCACCACCCTGAAAACAGCCCCAGCTTTGCTTTGATCGCCATCAAATTAAAAAAAAAAAAAAAAGAAAAGAAAAAAAAAAAAATGAAGCCATCTGGGGAAATCCCTCCACACCTACTAAAGACTGTTCAGAGACCGGGGCTGACTTTCCAGTCTTGTTAGCACCACGCTGACAAGTCGCTTTGGTAAAACGTAACTTCCCCCCGGTAACAACTAATTAGCACTTTTCAAAAAAAAAAAAAAAGTGCTCGTGTCTTCTGGTTCCAGGGAAACGTCACGCGTGTCGAATCCTGCAGAACGGCGAGGAAGGGAAGAGAAGAAATGGCGTGTCTGTGCTGGCAAATTACTGCCCAGAAATAACACTTTTCTCCCCCCCCTTCTTTTTTGTCCTGGGGCGGGGGGGTGGGGGGGGTGAGCGAGTTTGAGGTCCCTGCAGTGGGAGCCGGTGGGACGCGCCGCTCTCGTGCCAAACGCTGCGGGGCCACGCGCGAGGCCGACCCCACAGCCCTCGCCGCGTCCCTCCCCGAAAGGGAGCCTCGTGGCAGCTCGGGTGATGAAACACCGGGCAACGGCGGGCGCATCGGGGCGCGCTCCGCCGCCACCGCGTCCGCCCAGCGTCGGGGGCAGCGCCCCGAGGCCGCCGGCCCGCACCCCTCCCCCTCGGGCCCGCACCCCTCCCCGGCGGGGGCTCCCCGGCCCCGCACCCCCCCGTCCCTCACCCCCCCCCGTCCGCGGCCCGCGCCCCGCGCCCCCCCTCCACCCCCCGGGCCCGCGCGCCCGGCCAGCTCCCCGGCAGCCCCGGGCCCCGAGTCACCTTCCCTACGGCTCCATCCCGCCTCCCCGCCCGCACTCCCGAGCGCTGGCCAGCGGAGCGCGGAGAGCGGCCCTCGTCCCGGTCGCCGTCGTCCTCCGCCGCGGCCGGAGCCCGAGCTGCCGGGGCCGCGCGCCCCTCCGCGTCCGCCGGCGCCTTGTCTTGCGTGGCGCCCGGCCGGCAGGCGAGCCAGCAGGCGGGCGGGGTCGGCGCCCCAGGAAGGGAAAGAGCGCGAGGTCCCGGCTAACGCCGCCGCCGCCGCCGCCGCCTCCGCCGCCGCTGAGTCAGCGCGAAGCGCGCTCCCCGCGTCGGCGCCGCGCGGGCCAGCAGCCCCAGCAGCCTCATGGAGAGCGGGGACCGCGGCCCGCGGACCCCGGCCGGACGCCTACAACTCCCGGCGTGCAACGGGCGGCGGGGGCGCTTCCCGGCGCCCCGCGGGGCCTGCGGTGCATGCCGGGACGGGGCGCCGGGCGCCAGCCCCTCCCCCGCCGCCGGGTCTCGCGGGGGGCGTGGCCGCGGGGGGCCGCGAGAACGGCGCGGCCGGGGCCCGGCTGGGGCGCTGCGGGCCGCGCGGGGTCGGTGGCTCGTGGCTCCGCCGTGGGTCCGCGTGCCTAGCGCCCCGCAGGCTTCGCACGCGCCGTCCTGGGTGAAAAGGCGAGAGCGTCGCCAGGGCGTCCTGCTCGGGGGACTCCCTGCAGCCGCGACCTCGTGGCCCGCCCGCCGCCCGGGCTGCGGCCGCCCGCGTGTGCGCCCCGCGCCCGCCCACCTGCTGCACCAGCTGCCCCACTCGCCCGACGGGGCAACCGCGGGCCTGACCTCGGAGGGCTCCCGCGCGCGCTGCGCTGGGGACTCGCGTTTGCACGCAGGGAGCTCAGGATTTAGTTGCGTTGACTCCTCGCAGCTCACTGCGGATTAGGTTGCAGTCACGCAGGCCGCAGTGACAAACGGGTCTTGGCAGGGGGAGTCCGGAGGACAGGCAGGATCAAGTGAAGGTAACCACTGTGCAGCGACTTGCGCTCGGCGACCCCGTGCAAGGCGCTGCACCGCCCGCTTCACACGGTGTTTCCCATCACTTCTGCATCACGTCTGTGACTGAAATGCCAGGCGAGGGGCAGCCCCGGTGGCCCAGCGGTTGAGCGCCCGCCTTCAGCCCAGGGCATGACCCTGGAGACCCAGGATCGAGCCCCACGTAGGCCTCCCTGCATGGAGCCTGCTTCTCCCTCCGCCTGGGTCTCTGCCTCTCTCTCAAGTAAGCTCTACACCCAATGTGGGGCTTGAACTAATGACCCTGAGACCAAGAGTTGCATGCTCTACTGACCGGGTCAGCCAGGCACCTCAAGCATCAAACGTTTCTTGACCCCAAATAACATATTACCCCAAAGCGCATACTTTATTATAATTCTGAGCAAAAAATTGCAAATTTCTTAGCAGTACTTTACCAGCAGCACAATTTTCACAAATACTGTCAAGGGCCAGGGCCACACAGCCACTCTGGCCCACCACACTGTGCAGTAGCCCTGCACCCCAGAAGCCCTTACACATATGGTAGTTTGCTTCCTATTTACTGCTCAGCTGTACTCCACAAAATGACTTCACCTCTTCTCTTCAGTTAGTGACTGAACCTAGTGTAACCAGGGCAGCCAGGGTGGCTCAGCGGCTTAGCGCTGCCTTAAGCCCAGGGCCTGATCCTGGAGACCTGGGATCCAGTCCCACATCGGGCTCCCTGCATGGAGCCTGCTTCTCCCTCGCCCTGTCTCTGCCTCTCTCTTGCTCTGTGTCTCTCATGAATACGTAAATAAAATCTTAAAAAAAAAAAATCGAAATGCCAGGCAAGGATTCCTGTCCTATTTCAGTGTATCTCCGGAGTGTAGCACACAGGACAGTGCCAGCCTGTAGTTAATTACGACTCAATGAATAGATGATTGCCCGGATTGGTTCTTACATTACCTGTGTTGGTCAGCTATGAACTATGGAGACCCAATGTTAGTCCTAGTCTGAGTGGCTCCAAAATCTTCAATCTATGTATGTTCCATTTACCTTGTATCGACAGCCTATCTAGGAGCATTGGCCCTCTATGGTAGTTCAAATATCTAGGATTTCTAGAATCTTTCAATTTTGAAAACTCACATTATTCTTTTAAAAACATTTTATTTGGGGATCCCCGGGTGGCTTAACCGTTGAGCATCTGCCTTCGGCCCAGGGCGTGATCCTGGAGACCTGGGATCGAGTCTCACCTCAGGCTCCCTGCAGGGAGCCTGCTTCTCCCTCTGCCTGTGTGTGTCTCTGCCTCTCTCTCTCTGTCTCTCATGAATGAATAAATACATAAATAAAATATTAAAAAAATAAAAATTAAAAACATTATTTGAGACAGGGAGAGAACACAGAAGGAGAGTGAGACAGAGAAACAGACTCCCCACTGAGCAGGGAGCCTGATGTGGGACTTGAACCCAGGACCCTGAGCTCATGAAGGCAGACACTTAACCAACAGAGCCACCCAGACTCCTCAAAAGCTCATATTATTTTGAACAAGAGGCACTTGGTGGAATCCAACTAAAGAGGACCTGAAATTTGGCCACCTTATAGTCCGGCTTTCTCATCATAGACTAACATAAATGCCAGCTATCAAAATGTTGATAAATAACACTGTCATTATTTTAATTTAAAGCATATTTACTTGGACATGGCAATGTTTTTATGTATTTTTTTAATTTTTATTTATGATAGTCACAGAGAGAGAGAGAGAGGCAGAGACACAGGCAGAGGGAGAAGCAGGCTCCATGCACCGGGAGCCCGACGTGGGATTTGATCCCAGGTCTCCAGGATCGCGCCCTGGGCCAAAGGCAGGCACCAAACCGCTGCGCCACCCAGGGATCCCTGTTTTTATGTATTAATTACCAACATTTTGGAGCATTTATTACGTGCCAGAAACAGCTTTAAGTGTTCATATGTTAATCCTCACAATTCTATGAGGTAGGTACTATCATTATCCCTATTTTATAGATAAAGAAACTGAAGTACAAAGAAGATAGCAGAGCTGGGATTCAAACCCACTTCATATGTACTGGAAGGTTGTTATTTCTAGATAGTGAGATTACAGATGATTTTTTTTTTCTTCCTTGTACATTTTTGGACACTAAAAAAATCCTCCACAACGTGATGTGTTGAGCACTGGGTATTATATGCATCACTGGACTCTACCCCTGAAACTAATAATATACAATATGTTAACTAATGGAATTTAATTTTTAATTTTTAATTTTTATTTTTTAATTTTTAAAAGTAACAAATAAAAAGGCAAAAAAAAATCCTCCAGTGATCATGTAGTATTTTCATAATCAGAAAAACATTAAAAATAAAACTCAAAACTGACTCTAATAAAAGGAAAAAAATGGTTTTATTCACTCTTTGAGCATTTTTTTTTCTTTGAGCATGTATTGAATGCTATGTCCCTTATTCAACTAGGTTTATTTAATCATTTCTTTGATGTTGCTTTTTTTATTCAACCTCTTATGTCATGAATATATTTTAACGTGTTTTTGTTTTGTGTTAAATTTGTGTGGTTGTCTTACCCATGAGTCAACTCTTGAAGACTGGAAATAAATCTTATCTTGATTCTGTTTATAGGGTAGTGATTTCTCAGTGAGTACTTGAATCAAAAATAATGTAACTGAGCTGCTAACCACTGAGTTCTGTGTCAACTTCTCTTCTTCATCTGGATGTTTGTTAAGCCCAGTGCCACTGTCACCAAAAGCTCATTCACCCAAGATGGGTTTCCTGGCAGAGAAAGAAGTTGGAAAATAGGTCAGATAAGCTGTCTTTACTGGTCCTAGTCCAATCATTGGTTTCTTTTAGAGGAAGTGAATGTGAAGCAGGAAGCCTGAGGCAGAATAGAGCATTGAAGCATTATTTAGTAAAGGAAAAAGTTTTTTTTTTAAATTTTTAATCCAAAAGACTGTATATATAGTCCCTTAGGTTTCATTATAATGACATCTCTCCTTCATGTCAGCTGACTGCTAATGTTAATAGTTATTTAAATGGTCAGTATTCATTGATACTGAATAGAAATAAATACCAAAAGATTCCTAAATCAGACATCTTTTAAAAATTCAGGTTCTATTTACCTACTACAGATTTCAAGTTTCTTTCTATGCATACCGTCTTGAGTTTCAAACTGGGAGACAGGAACACTTGGGATCCTTAGATTGAAGTATATTTCTGGTTTGAAATCCTTACAGGGTTCTTATGACCCATGATCACTTATCCACCAAAAACGTAATTTAAAAAAATGCCATTTCTTTTGTCTGTGTGTATATATGTAGATTAGGTTTTTGTCTTGAGCTTTAATCTAAAATATAAAAAGGCTAGCATCCAACAGAGAAGAATTTGATATTACTTTTTTATATGCGGAACCTGGTGGAAATCACCAGGAAAATCACCAGGAAATCACACACTTACTCAATTTATTTTTAAAATACTTAGTGTTTACTCGGTTCCTGGTACCTGTCATAAAGTACTTCAGAAACATTGTTTTTTTTTTCCAGAAATAGTTTTTTTTTTCAGAAATATTGTTAATCCTCACAATAACTCTTTGTGGAGTTGGTACTTTTACCCCATTTCACATATGGAAAAATTAAATTAAGGCCCTAAGAAAGTAACTTGTCCAAGATCATTTAGCTACTGAATGTGAGAACTGAAATTTGAACCCAGGTCATCTGGCTTTATGGTCCTGTGCTGCCCTTTTATTTTTTATTTTATTTTTTTAAAGATTACGTATTTATTAATGAGAGACACACAGAGAGAGGCCAAGAGATAGGCGGGCAGAGGGAGAAGCAGGCTCCCTGCAGGGAGTCTGATATGGGACTCGATCCCAGGATCCTGGGATCAAACTTGGAGCCGAAGGCAGATGCTCAACCACTGAGCCACCCGGGTGCTGCTGTGCTGCCCTTTTAAACTAGCTGTATTGACTATCCCTCAACCTAAGGCTACTCTGTTCTGGTGAAAGTTCTGGTTAAGGAGAGTGACTTGGGGATTAGTTCTGGGTGCATAATGTTCCATTACTTTTGATAGTTTCAACAAGATACGTCTATTAGTGCTTGATTGCATAGGAACTGTACTAAGTGCTTCTTGATTTTAGATGGACTTTGACGTTAAAGAGTAATTGCCTATCTTGGAGGTATTTAATTATCCATATAAAGCTTATCAAAAGATAAGAAAATACAAATCATGAATACATGTCTATTCATAATTCATAATTCACTGCACATGATCATCATATCAACTTACTGGTTGGGCAGGCAAGTATCGGAAGTTTCATTTTATAGATGGTGAAACTGAAGTCCAAAAAGGTTAAGACACTTTCCAGAAAGCTCACAGATAGTGAGCAACAGGGTTTGCACTGTAATCCAGTTCTCCTGACTCCAAATCCCGTGATCTTTCCCCACTAATAATGTCCTTTCCTGAGATCTGAACTTTGTTATTACTGTGGCAACAATACAGAACATTAAGTGCCTAGAAACCATGACACTGCCTTTTCTGTGTGCCACAAACTTAAAAGTTAACTGAGGTCACCTTTACCATCAATCCTTTTGTCAAATTCCCTTCTTCATGTGCTTCATTTTAATGTTTATTAAGTCTAGTGCCCTTGTCACCAAAAGCTTACAAATGACGGGTTTCTTGGCAGATAGGTCAGGTATACTGTCTTTTCTACTCCCAGTGAAGTTATTTTAGTCCTGAGTATGAAGCAAAAGCCTGAAGGACACTAAACAGCAGCTTGGAGTGAGGCTTTTTGCCCTACCTGGGCTTCACATTTCATTTCCAATGTAGTCCCTTGCTTCTGAGCGGCTCTTGTGAAGCAGGTATTTGGCAAAGGTGAAAGGCCTTTACCCTTGGTTGGTTTGAGGCAACAAACTGTTTAGAGTAGTTTAGGTATGAAATAGTCTTTATTTTAGAGGAAACAGTCATGCCTCTGGGCTCCCTTCTTATCCACCTATGAAGTTATGAGGAGTCAGACAGATGTCTAATCAGATTCTAAGAAACTTGGAATGCTAGGTCATTTAAGATTTTGTCAGCAGGTGGCACTTATCTCCTTAGTCACTAAATACAATCTCTCCGATAAAAGAAATAATTTTCCTTTGCTGCTATTGAGTTCCTCAGATTTGTTTAGCCACCCAAACATTTCTCCCCAGCTTCTTTCTGCACTGACTTACTTTACAATATCTATTTATGTATTTTAACCTTTTATACTTTTTCCATGAAAGATTTGAAGTTATTTACACCATACAGTAAATAATAGCAAAATAAGGAGAATATGAACTGCAATAAAGAATATACAATTTGGGGATCCCTGGGTGGCGCAGTGGTTTAGTGCCTGCCTTTGGCCCAGGGCGCGATCCTGGAGACCTGGGATCGAATCCCACGTCAGGCTCCCGGTGCATGGAGCCTGCTTCTCCCTCTGCCTATGTCTCTGCCTCTCTCTCTCTCTCTCTCTGTGTGTGTGTGACTATCATAAATATATATATATATATATATATATATATATATATATATATACACACACACACACAATTTGGGGGCAGCCCAGGTAGCTCAGTTAGCCTGATCCTGGAGACCTGGGATCGAGTCCTACATCAGGCTCCCTGTAGGGAGCCTCTCTCTGTGTCTCTCATGAATAAATAAATAAAAATCTTAAAAAAATATATACAATTTGATTGAGTTTTGGGTAGCTGGACAAAATACAAACAGGTACCATTTCTTTGGGTGAATGGGTAGGGAGAGAGGATGACTTTTCTAGAATTTGAAATTATAATGAAAGTTGCTACCTATGGTTATTAGAGACAAGTTTCTGCTTTGTGTGCCCTTCTCATCAATTCAATCTCATTTATAATAAGTGATTCCCTATCTGTAAAAACGAAGCCATACTTGTACTGTCCTGCAGCTTCAAGGGTGACAATTAGCATTCCTCCACCGTTGGTCTTCAGCTTTTCAAGATGTGGGCCTCATCCCTTCGTGGATCCTACATAGACAGCGAACTGCCGGTCCACAGGACTTGGTCCTAAGCCTTGGGAACACACGCACACCCATTAAGTTTGGGCCTGCCAAATCAGTAAGATTTACTTAATAAGATTTCCGAGAGAGAGAGAGAGAGAGAGAGAGAGAGAGAGAGAGAGAGAGAGCGCTTTCAATTAGCTGGAGAGAAAAGACCTACGTTTACACTAATGACTAGAGGACTGTTACCAGGCAATGTAATACACTGTGTGATTGGTCTTCATAGGATTCTAGGGCTGTTCTACGCATGTAAGAATACACCAGTAACTTTCATCTCGTTTCTAACAGACAAGCAGCTTGCAATTGTGGATTCTGTACATGGCCTGGGTGGAGCGCCCCTGAATGTCCGCCTGGCAGCCCACGGCCGCTGGAGGATGATTTCCTCGAGGGACCAGCGTGCTGGCCCGTCCGCCGCCGTCTGAGGTTGGCACGGGTGGGGGCGGCGGCTCCAGGGACCCCTCCATCCCCCGACCCAGGAACCCCCCACCCACCCCCATCCTCCCCATCCCCCACCCATCTCCCATTGCCCCACTCCATCCCCCCACCCCCATCCTTCTATCCCTCCCATCTCCCCATCCCCCATCCCCCCATCTCCTCACCCCCATCCCTCCATCCCCCCACCTCCCCACTCCCCCAGTCCCTCCATCCTTCCACCCCCATCCCCCCTTTCCTCTATCTTTCCCATCTCTCCATCCCCCTACCTCCCCATCCCCCATCCCCCACCTTCCCATCCCCCCACCCCTCCATCCCCCCAGCTCCCCACCGCCCCAATCCCTCCATCCCCCCCGCCCTCCATTCCCCATCCCTCCATCCCCCACCTCGCCATCCCCCATCCCCCCAACCCTCCAACTTCCCCATCCCCCCATCCTCCATCTCCCCATCCCTCCCATCCCTCCCATCCCTCCCATCCCTCTATCCTCCCAATCTCTCCATCCCTCCATCCCCCCTCCCCGGGGTCCCCCGCCGCGCCCCGCTCATGGCCGGCCCCGCGAGGTCGGGCTTCCCCGCGCGCGCGCACAGCCGCCTGGACGCCTTCCTGCGGAGGCACCTGCCGCCCGAGGTCTACGACGCGGTCCGCGCCTGCGAGCGGTGCCTGGTGGGGTCGGACGCCGAGAGGCTCAGCCTCCAGTACGTGGTGCTCAGCGACCGGCTCATCTACCTGGCGGAGAGCCCGCCCCGGGGCCTCCGGCGAGCCGCGGCGCTGCGGGACGTCCTGGCCATCGAGCTGGTGAGGCGCGGGGGCGGGCTGGGGACGACGGCCTTCGGGGTCCCGGTTCCAGCCGTCCGCAGGCGGGAGGGGGAGGAGGAGCCGCCCTCCCCCCCTGCACCCCTCCCCGCCTGCCGCGCTTCCTTCACTTACCCGAGGTCCAGCAGCCCCGGGACAACTGTGGCCTCAGGATGCGCTCCGAGCATCAGGTGTACCGCTCACCCCTTGGCACCCCCCACCCCCCGGAGTGCTACAGGGTTGAGAACACAGCCCTCCATCAAGTGTATGCTTTAAAGGCATTTTTTCGTTCATTAAGCACCTAGCCTGTGGCAGCCACTTGTTCTAGACGCTGAGGATCAAAAGTAGGGGCCCCTTCCTAGAAGCTGCTGTGGGAGACACAAAAAGCCAAAACCAATGCAAATCAATGCAGTGTGCTAAGTACTATTATGCCTTCTTTACTCCTTAATCAGCAGCGCTTAGAGCAGGTTAGGGGCTCAATATGAATAAGTGAGTGAATGAACGAATGAATGAGACAAGCTCAGGAAGCCTGGCAATCTCAGGCAGGTCACTTGATCCAACCTAGACTTCAGAACTTCTTCAAGAAGATACAGTCTGGCACAGATACTCCTTGTCCCGGTTTTTAGTGTGCTGCTACTGTATCCTTGCCCTTCATAAATACATTTACCTTATAAACCAGCAACAGATTGGAAGCAGTCTCCTCTCTAATTACTATTTTTCCCCCTTGGCTCCCTTTGTCTGAGCAACTCTCCAGGTGTGCTCTTTTTTCCACTGGGGACAGGTGTCTAGCCTTGTACCCAACACCTCCTCCTCCCCCCCTCCAGTCTGCATCCCCCACGGGAGAAGTTGGCAAGACTCTGTAGGGCTGTTTTGCCAAGACCAGCATAGATTGTTTGCAACACATCTGCAAGAAAAGGATAAAATTTAGTGAAAACAATGCCTTTCTTTCCTTCTTAAAATACCTCTGTGGGCTAGTATCACTACGCAAAGTTTTTTTTTTTTAATTTTTTTTTTTATTTATTTATGATAGTCACAGAGAGATAGAGAGAGGCAGAGACACAGGCAGAGGGAGAAGCAGGCTCCATGCACCGGGAGCCCGACGTGGGATTCGATCCCGGGTCTCCAGGATCACGCCCTGGGCCAAAGGCAAGCGCCAAACCGCTGCGCCACCCAGGGATCCCAAAGTTGTTTGTTTTTGATTAAAAGTTGGAGGCAAGGGGCACCTGGGTGGCTCAGCGGTTGGGCACCTGCCTTTGGCTCAGGTCATGATCCCGGACCCGGGATCGAGTTCCGCATGGGGGGTCCCTGCATGGAGCCTGCTTCTCCCTCTGCCTGTGTCTCTGCCTCTCTCTCTCTCTTTCTCTCTGTGTCTCTAATGAATAAATAAATCTTTAAAGAAAAAAAGTTGGAAGCAAAACTGCCTTTTTCTCACTTCCACTATTTTCATTCTCTTGAACTAAAAAAAATTAATTTCCTTTATCAAATGCTTTTTAAAACATTAGATACTCAGCTTTTTCTGTCTGCAGTGTTAACATTTATCGTTTTGACAAAACGTAATGATTTTAGGATATTGCTACTCTCTCCAACAAGACACAGTATATGTATTCCAATAGTTGTTATATATCTTTCTTTTTGAGCTGTCAGAAACTGAAAAGTACAGTAAAGTTTCCTAGGCCTCCAAGCCAAGAATCCTCCCAAAAGGCGTACCAATTCATTTGGTCATCCTTTATGTACAACATTTACCTTTCAGGCATATAGGAGAATGTGCAAAGGTGCTGAACAAAACTAAGATTTCAGCATTGTTGATAGATTGAATGTCCACTGTGCACAATATATTTTAACTCTGGCTAAAGTTGTGGTAGGCAGAGTAATGGCCCCCAACAGATATCCCTGGAACCTATGAATATGTTACTTTACATGGCAAAGAGGAACTAAAGTTCCAGATGCAATTAAGTTCCAGCTAATCAACTGGCTTTAAAATAGGGAAATTAAAAAAAAAAAACAAGAACAAAACAAAACAAAAAAACCAAAGTGTCCAATAAACAAAGAAACCCCTGCCCCCCCCAAAAAAAGAAAGAAAAAAAAGAAAGAAATAAGCTAAAATAAATAAATAGATAAAATAGCACGATTATTTTGCATCATGGGGCGGGGGGGCAATGTAACCGCAAAATCCTCAAAAAGTGGAAAAGGGAGGCAGAGTGCTGCACACAAGAGACTACTGGTTCTGAAGGTGGAAAGGGCCCAGAAGCCAAGGGATGTAGGTAGGCAGCTTCTAGCAGCTGGAAAAGGCAAGAGCCTGCAGAAGGAATGCAGTCCTTCTGACAGCTTGATGTTAACCCAGTGAGGACCATGTGGACTTCTGACCTCCAGAAAGATGAGAGAATAAATTTGTGTCTAATGCCACAGATTATGTGGTAATAAGTTACAACAGCAAATAAATGCAGAAGCGTTTCCTATCAATTTTGTTTACTTATTTATTGAAAGGGAGAGAGTGGGTGTGGGGAGTAGGGGTGTAGGGGAGGGGGAGAGGGAGAGAGAAAGAATCTCAAGCAGAGGACACAGGGCTCAATCCCCGGGCATTAAGATCACAGCCTGAGCTGAAACCAAGAGTCTGAAGCTTAACCAACAGAGCCACCCAGGTGCTCCAATGATTACTCATTTTAAAAAACATTAATAGCATGGGATTGAACCTCGCATAGGGCTCCCCACTCAGCAGGGAGTCTGCTTGAGATTCTTTCCCTTTGCTCTACCCCCTCAAATAAAGAAATATTTTAGTGACTCCTGGGTGGCTCAATGGTTGAACATCTGCCTTCCTTCGGCTCAGGCCCTGATCTCAGGGTCCTGGGACTGAGTCCTCCATTGAGCTCCCCAAATGGAGCTTGCTTCTCTCTCTGCCTATGTCTCTGCCTCTCTCTGTGTGTCTCTCATTGAATAAATAAATAAATAAATATTTTTTTAAAAAAAGAAATCTTTTTAAAAAATTGGTAATCATTTTTAAAAAATAGTGTTTCAGTGAGAAATAAATATAATCATGCCAAGTACAAATGCCTTAGCCAATTCTTTTTCTAAGGTTCAAAAAAATTTTTTTAGGGTTATTTATTTATTTATTCATGAGAGACAGAGAGAGAATGGGGCAGAGACACAGGCAGAGGGAAAAGGAGGCTCCATGAAGGGAACCTGACGTGGGACTCAATCCTGGGTCTTCAGGATCACGCCCTGGGCCGAAGGCAGCACTAAACCACTAGGCCACCCAGGCTGCCCTTTTTCTAAGGTTTTATAAAATAACCCAGGGTTAGTGCAGTTCAGTGGTTTGTATAGCTGTACAGGGTATGTGAAATAGGGGTATCAGAATTGCTGGTAAGGTACTAGGTATAGTGCTAATTAATAACCACAGGTGTAGTTGACTAACCGTCCCTCTGTGAACATCAAGTCCTTACTTAATACCACAATGTGGAGAATTTTCTTGATTTCTGTGTTATATAAGTTGTTTTTTATCCATATCAACTTAGTCACTTCAATGACATGATTTCAGTGCCAGGCAGCTTTGTTTTTTAGAACCGGTTCCTCCTTCCTTTAAAGATAAACTGTTTACTCTCCATTTTTTTTTTCTTAAGGGTGCTGTCCTCTTTCTGAGGCTAACTCTTTAGACACCCTTTTCCATTCTCAAAGGTTTTCTCATTTCACTGCACACATTAGTCTCGTTATTTATCTTTCAGTTGGTTCAGGTTCCCATCCTGCCTTTGTTCTAGCTGTCACAGTAATAAAGCCCTTAAGCAAAACAGTCCTTCATACCTCTGGGCCCTAGCCCTCCTGGCTCCATGACACCTCTTGCAACTACACTTCAGAATATAATTTGCAAATATACAGATAAA